TTGTTTACAGCTGGAGACTCATAACCTACAGACACTTCTAGGAGAATACACAACCCCTCTCCCCAGCCCTGTACTGTACCTAATAGAAATACTGAGGCTCCAGGTGCCAGAGATTGTGGGTTCAGCTCCATCAGAGCACACACCACACCTGACCCCAGCTCCTTACTGCAAGAGCCACCAAGGTGGGGCAGCAAACTCCAGGTCAATCTCTCAACCAAAATAGGCTCCCAAGTAACAGACATCCAAGGCTGGCCTCTGGCCATTACACACACATGCAAACATGTGCACAGACATCTGCACACACGTGAACATACTCCCTGAAATGCACACACACACACACACACACACACACACAGAGAGAGAGAGAAAGAGAGAGAGAGAGAGAGAGAGAGAGAGAGAGAGAGAGAGAGAGAGAGAGAATACAAGAGGATTCAGGCATGAGGAAGGGCAGGCTGAGGCTCTGCATCTGGCTGACTTACACAGGACATCATAGGCTGGCTGCACATCAAATTCCATCTCCTGCTGGAGCTCAGGGGAGCTCAGCTTGAAGCTCAGAGACCTGCAGTCCGGCTGTTCTGAGCTCTGGATCTCAAACTTCACTTTAAATTGTCTCTCTTGTTGCAACTGGCACAGGTGTTTCTGAATTTCCTCAAGGAAGTCTCCACGCCACTTTAACTGATCCTCAAAGCTGGTGAGATTGTTAAAGAACACCACCATGTTGGCCTCTGACCTGCCCTTGAGTGCAGTCTGTTCATTGTTGGAGCCACCCTAAAAGACAAGGATGAGGATGACAAGGGGTAGGGAGAGCCATGCTGGGTAATCCAGATGTGAACAGAGTAGGAGTCCATCACCAAGAGTGATCCTTGGATGGAGAAAGCTGACCCATGTGCAGTGGAATTCTATTCAGTAAGGAAGAGTGAAATTGGCACCTCTGTAGGAAAATAGAGAGTCCTGGATCTCCTTGTGATGCAGGAGATAAGCCAGACTCAGAATGATGAACACCCTTGTTTTATCTATTTCTAACCAGAATTAAGAGAGGGAGAGAAAGAGAGAGAGCATGTGTGTGTGTGTGTGTGTATGTATGTGTGTGTGTGTGTGTGAGAGAGAGAGAGAGGTTGGGGGCAAGAGATGCGAGAGGACTCAGGACTCTCTCAGGCAGGTGAAGTTCAAGTACAAACTGGTGGGCTGGTAATTGGTCAGAGGAGACTGAGTAAATTACCACAGACATATTAAACTGTGGTCACGATCCCCCTTGTTAGAGTATTAAAAGGAATAGACCATGTCTAACATCAGTCCCGGAAGAAAGTCTGTAACATTGAAAAATGATCACAGGGCAAATGTTAAATTTAAGAAAATTGAATTCAGAAAAAGAAAAAATGTGAGAAAATAATAAGTGATAAGCAGAGATCCTCTCTAAATAAAATGCTGAGCACAATCACTAACACACTTGCACACCTGACATAAATGAGTGGACTTTACAAAACATTTCTGCAGCTTTCACAGAGTCTGAGGTAGGGATTGTCATCATAAAGTCCATTTGACAGATAGAAACTCAGGCAATGAATTTCCATCACTCAAGACATCCAGTAGGTGGGGGGGTCTCTGTTCTGTTCTCTGCCCTGTGTCATAGCTAGGGTGTACATGAGGACACTGGGTATAGAGCAGGGAGGTAACTCACTCTCCTCTAAGGACTGCAGTCTGGTTTCTTAGAATCCTCTCCCACCCCATCCAGGTCAGCTCAGGCTAATGAGACTCACCAACACAACCCTGGAGACCCTCACATGGTGGGCGGCACCTTGGAAGCATCTCTCCTTCAGAAAAGCACTTATGACTTCGATGTCTGCTCTGACCTCAGTAAGAAATGTAGAGTCAGGAAGAAGTTGATCCTCTATGAACTTGTCCATCTCCCAAGCCGGAGTGCTGCGGAGATCCACAGGAGTCCTGAGATCCACAGGAATGCTGACATCCACAGGAGTGCTGAGGTCCATAGGAGTGCTGCTTTCATCCATTGCCATCCTGAGGCCAGGAATGTTTGCTGACTGCAGCCTTGCCTCAGGAGTCAGCTGCCCCTTATATCCATAGCTGGTTCCTCTTTCCCTGGAAGGGTGGGGCTATGCAAATCAGAACTCTGCACCTGCTACCTCTGTCTCCTGGGCTCCCTGACACTCTGGGTTTTTTTCCTGTAGGCATTTCTTTGGATTGTCAAACTTTCATCACAGCAGGCTGTGGACCAGGAGGCAGGAAGCATCCTAAACATAGATTCTGTTGTTCTTCCTTCTTGTTCTTGAACTGTTTTTTTTTTTTTTTTGAAATTTTTTAAAAAATAATTTATTTTTTCTGAAATTGTAATTCATTCACACAGGGGTTATAAACACAAAATGACAGGATGTGGGGAAGGGGATGACACTGGAGTGTGGGTGTTCAGGGGGAATACAGATATCTTTCAGGACCGGGTATCAGCTGGGTGAAGTTTCAGGGAACAGGTCACTATGACTCTGCCTATGACTCACTTATCCTTATCTAAGTTGGTATTGTCTGCCAAGGCTACCTATTTACAAGGTGTATGACTTCTCGGGCTGGTAAATTTCCACAAAACCTGCCTGTTTACATTAGCTTATAGCCATCTGTTTCAATGTTTTTCCATAGAGACCCAAGACTTGGTGTTAGTACACATGTATGACAGGCCTATTGCTGATTTTAAGCCTATGGCTGATTTTAGGCCTTCAGTGTGTAATCAGGGCTGCCCCTGACATCTCCTCCCTTCTCTAAGTATAGAAGGGCTGTGGCAATTCTAATCTTTCAAAGGCAGGGATAGAGGCCTGACCTCCAGTAATTGAAGGGGACCTTGTAATGGTGCCAGAGACAGTCAGCAGCAGATTTCCCATGAGCTTTCAGTTTTAGAGAGTTAAAAGTGACCAAGGCATGATGGAGAGCATTTCAGGAGCACCACTTCTGGGGGGCTACCATTCCTTCTCTTTTGTTTTTAAAGCCAATTTTTCAGAGTTCTTGTAAAATCAGGGCAGAAGCGACAACAGTAGCTCCTTCCACACTAAGAGAGTCTTGAAGACCCTATTTAAAGAAATATAAATCTATATTAATAATCTTTATCAAAGAACTGTTATAGCACAGCCGACAACTAATCAGACTATATAATATATCGATTAGTCTTGAACTGTTATTAATGAAAAATCCTTTGATAGTCTGGTAGGTTGTTAACAACAGAACACACAGTCACAGACACACACACACAAACACACACACACACACACACACACACACACTTCATTAAAATATGAAG